TCTTTTCTGATTGTCTTCCCCATCCAACCGGGGGAGAGTGAACGGGAGGGTGTGTGGTGCTTAGTTGCCGGCTGGGGTTAAACCATGACATTGGGCAATGCATCTCTACTGGCTCCTTAAGCAGAGGAGACTCTGCTTCAGTGGGTATTTTTCACATCTTGAGTAAGTGTCTTATGTCAGAGAGAGCAGTAAATATTTCTGGATGCACTGGACATTGCAAGGCATTAAAAACAAGCATTGAACTACAGTTGAGTTGCAAGAATAAACAGGAACTTGAAAGACACTCTTGATCATTACAGGAAGAATGTATGTCCAGTTCTCCCCAGCCTGGGAGAAACCAGAAAAGTTGCAGAAATGAGGATCACTGGAGTTATGTGGAAGACACATTTCCTTTCAACACTCCTTATAGCACTCGATAAGGATCTGTGTCACACTTGGGGACATCCCAAATTTTTGAAAAACAATAAGGGTGGACAAGGAATTTACATGAGTAACTCTCCTTTTCTCATTTACCAGGGCTGTCTTCCAGCCAGGGTTCAACTTTTTTCACGGTCTGCCAAATCTTTGCAAATGATCTCATGGACATGACCTCCCTTTCTTGGAGTCTTGCAGCTTCCCTCCAGCAAACACGGCAGGGACGGTATTGGGAAAGCGGTGATAGCTCTCCAACTGCTTTGCTGTGACTTTGGAAACTGGATGTGTAAATTTATGCTTCGTGCACAGTTGTCACCTCTGAAAAGTGAACAAAGGCAAACACAGGTACTAATTTTAGGCTGCCAGCCAACACAGTAGACAGTTGCCTAGGGCAGCAGACTGTTGAATGCAGCAGAATGCCAAGGCTGTACGAAGATGCAGACTTGCTGCTGCTGTGCTGCCCTCTGAGAAGGGAGCATTAGACATGAATCTGAGGGTTGAGATTCATGTCCCGTTTTCAGGCAACAGCTTACTGTTTAGCCCAGGTGATCCTCAGCACTCTGTGTGCAAGCATCAGACATGCAGTGCTCAAGCCAGTGTCCAATTCTGCTGTTTGAGTGATCCACACCCACTGGAAGGGGTGGGGAAGGGGCCTTTTTCCACAAGAAGCAAGAGCAACCCCTGGTTTTGGAGTTGTTTCTACTGCTCTTTCATCCCCTAATGTAGCAGAAGCAGTCTGAGCTGGTGTGAGTGGGCTGCTGCAGGGGAGGGATGGTTTGGGGTGGGAGTCACTTGAGTGGTGAAGGGTAGAAAGGAGTGATGGCCAGGAAGGGTGGTGTGCCTGTGGTGAGGTTGGGCTCTCCCACCTAATACTGCACTGACTCTCTTCATCCCAGCCCACCAGCAGCCCTGCTCCACCCCACCTCTCATCCTCACTAAATTTCACTGACTTCTCCCACCCAGCCCTGCTTTGGCAAACAACCTCACAAAGCTGTTTGAACCAGCCCTGCAGTTGGGCTTAAAAAATAACCCAGGCTTTTTATTTACAAAATCAAAAACTTGCTTTCAAGATTTTGGTGGCAAGTAGAAACAGGCGCAAGGAAAAGGGATAGACTGTATTCTTCGGACCACCAGCCAAGTGCTTTGCAGCTTTCGGTCTGGAAGTTGCTGGCTGAGGCTAAATCCCTCCAGCAGTGCCTCACCTGCTATTATCACTTTATCTGAAGTCATAAACACAGCCAGTGAAGAAATAATTTCCAACACCTTAAAAAGGACTCGCTTCCATAATTCACATCTGAGCTCAGTGGCAGTCGCTTTCACCAGCAGCAGATTTTGGGTAGAATTCAGAGTTTCGGACCTTTCCTGATGAAGCAGCTCCTTTAGTTGCTGCCTTTGACAGGATATTAGGTTGGCTGGATAAGTGATCTTATCCCATACGGCAATACTTATGTCTCATGTTTCAAAATAAGATCATTGCCTTGCTTGTGCCTGTTGGCAGTCAGGTTGCTACTAGCAGTGTTCACAACACGTTGCTGTTGTTAATCATCGGCTGCCTGTGCATATTAATACTTAAAATGAGATATTTAATTAATTAATGCCGTGCGTTTCTGACCCAAGTTTCACGTGAGCATCTCCCAGGCTGGAAAGGTTTTTTTTCCACCACGCCACAGTGCCAGTGATGGACCACCAGTGCAGCACTGCATGGTGCTGTGTCCGTGTTGTCCCACGGAGTGCTGCGATGGTGCACATGTGCTTGGAGAAGCTCACACAAACACGGACATTGACATCACCTGTATTTGTGGAACTGCCTCATCGGCTGGTGCTGTCTCACATTCCTGGCTGGGAGAGGCACCCGGGCGGCTCGCCATGGTTTACTCCTTTCTCAGAATCCGCAAGGAGACTTGGTGAGGGCAAAGCTTGGAGATGCACTTCTCCCATCATGTCATCTATTTACATGGCACATGCCTTGTGTATGTGTGTGTGTGTGTGTGTGAGACAGCACGGGCTTTTATTTTTCTCCCCCTGCCCTAGTTCTTCCTTCTGGCTGTGGTGAGATGGAAAGGTGGGAGGCTCTCATCTCTGCCAGCGAAAAGGTTTTCTGTATCTGAGGCTGGCTTGGAAATTCTTTAGGTGACATCACACCATGTCTGTGCAGACTCATTGTTTGTCATGGAAAAGCCATTCATCCATACACAACTTCCTTCCTCCCCAGACTCACAGAGATAAACTTTCCATTCTGTCTATTCCCTATAGAAACAGACCCAAAACATGTATGCGTGGCTACACACACATACACCTCAGCATCCCTCCGTCAGGCTCAGGGCTGTGGGAGGAGGAGAAGGGAGGATATAGAAGATGTGAATAAAGTCACCCTGTTTTCTTCAGACGTGGATCCTGCTGTGCCCAGGCAGTAAAACTCCCCTCCCACCGAGGTTCTGGGTCACACAAGGCTTTTTTGTCCTGAGGCTAATTTTGGCACTTGCAGCCCCACATCTGCCTGCCAGGTGAGATGGGCCACCAGCTGCAGGTACAGCACATCTGGATGGGGGAGGAAGCGAAGCGTGCTGCAAACAAACACAGCAAGTCCACCGTGGCGGGTGCGAGGAATTCGATAAAAAATATACTTCAGCGGTCTGAGCTGCCGAGTCTGGTGATTCATGTCTCGGGTGCTGCTCATGAGGCAGACTGAAAGGCTGGGCACTTGCATGTCTTGGACCACGAACACCGTGGCCATAGCCTGGGGGGGACCTGCAAGTTCAGCCTGCCTTTGGGGAGCCACTGCTGCAGGGCAGAGTTGGGGGGACACCAGGCCTGGTGTGGACACTGTGTGGGGCAGGAGGGGGGGGGCATTTTTTCATGGCAGAGAGGTGAAGACCATGTGGCACAGGGTAGGACAGCGGGAAGCCACGTAGAGATGGAGGCAGCAGCAGTGGTGTGGATGGCGTGATAAGGTGGCTGTTTCCCTGCGGTATGAGGGAGGCAGGGTGTGAGGAGCAGGAGCATCTGTTACAAGTACCCGCACAGTGTGGGATGCCTGCGTTTGCCTTCTGCCGGTGTCTGGGGGAGACAGGGCTGAGGAGCTGCCGGTGGGTCGAGTGGGGAAGGGAGAGATTGTTTGGACAAGAGGAGCCTTTGAAGCTTTTCTCCTGTCCACCTCCCCTGCCCATAAAGCCATTAGACTCCGGTGCCAGCCCTATCTGCGCTCGTCGCTGGCGGCCCGGCCGAGCCTCGCAGACCCCCCACCCGGGGCGCGGGTCCGGGTCCGTGGCGTGAGGCCCCTCGGGAGGCCGTTTTGGGGAGGGGGCACAGCTCATTTCCGAGCCG